TATGGGATCTTTGCTAGGAAAATCACCCTTCGGGATTTTCCGAACGGGTTAATTCGGAAAGACTTAGACCAGAATACTAGCTCTTATTTATATGTAAGTCGTCTTTTACCTTTATCGATGCAATAGTTTATTTAACAAACTATTATAAATAAGAACTGGTGTTCTGGTCTAAGTCTTTCCGAATTGGCCCATTCGGAAAATCCCGAAGGGTGATTTTCCTAGCAAAGATCCCATATATATATTTCTTATTACTGCTTCTTGAAATATATATATATATAACTTAGATAATCTTGTTTTTTTATTTTATTAAAAGAAATATCACAATGATATTAAAATAAATATATTCACTTTTTACATAAATAAATCTTGATAAATATAGATATAACATATCAGATAACTGATATATAGAGTCTTTGCCTTGAAAATCAAGTTTAGATCATATAATTTACTATGTCCTATAAGGTTATTTTCAAGGCAAAGACCTCATATAATATAAAATTTTTTAATTTTTGCTAATTATTTTATTATAAAAAATTTATCATAATAATTTATTATAAAAATCACATATCTTTAAAATGTTTTAACTCCTATTTTAGAAAAGCAAATTCAATTCTATAATTTACAAATAATATAGTTTTAAAATTATATTGAGACATTTTTAATCATGAATTTTAATAATAAAATATTCATGATTTGTAAGTTTATATTATAGAAACCCAAAATATTTACACATAATTCTTAAATATTGCAATATAGTTTTATAGCCACACTATTATTTACAAGTTGCAGAATTGAATTTGCTTTACTCGTACAAGAGTTAGAACGTTTTAAATATAAATTTAAATATAATATACAGTATATAATACATTACAGTATATATAATATATTATTTAATGTAAATTATACTTAAAACGTTCTAACTCTTGCACTAGTAAAGCAAATTCAATTCTGCAACTTGTAAATGATAGTGTGGCTATAAAACTATATTGCAACATTTAAGAATTATTTCTGGCCTCTATAGTATAAACTTATAAATCGTGAATATTTTACTATTAAAATTCACGACTAGAAAAACATTGGATCTTTTAATTATATTAAAATTTAAAAATGTTTCAACATAGTTTTAAAACTACACTATTCTAATATCATTTGCAAATTACAGAATTGAATTTGCTTTTTTAGATGTGATTTTTATAAATGATCGGCAAAAATCATTTTTGATTGGTCAGTCATATGACTACGTAGAGATGTATCGCGCTGGCGATGAATGATAATTGTCATAAATTATTATACGTATATATTTATCATAAATTATACTATTATTTTGGCAAGCTTATTAGCTTACCTATTAGCCGCTATTTAAATACATACAATTTTTAACCGTTAAGAAAAAAAATTTATTATATTTAAGAATCTATTAGAATTTATAAAACCAAATCTTAAAATTCGAACCTGATTCAGCTTCTGGATTTTAGAACTTATGCTAAATTATTTAAAGTTCATTTTTTCCGATGTAGTAATCTGGTATTACAAAAGTAACCAAACCCGAAGCGCATAACGAATAAAAATAAGTAAAGAAATGGATATATTAAATAAATATTAATAGCAAATTTACATTGGCCAATAGATATTCGAATTTTAAGATATTACATCGTAACAGTAATTAATAATGTTAAAAGAAAATTTAATGTAGACTTTCTTTATTCAAAACAAGAATAAGCATAGGCAATATATTTTTTATAAAGAACATTAGATTCCACTAGAATGTTATCAAAAAAAGGATTTTTATACTCTATGTTCTCAAATAATTTTATATTATATAAAAATATTGAAAAATAACGATTTTCAATACTGGCCACGACCGCCACCAAATCCCCTATCAATTCTTTCACCGTCATCAAATCTCCCCCCGAAGCCACCACCACGTGAAGAGCCACCAAGTCCACCACGAGGACCACTAGACCCACCACGAGCTTCAGCTACTCTCAATTCCCTACCTTCAAATTCGAATCCGTTGAGTCCTTCCATAGCTTTTGCAGCTTCTTCTTCTCGAGAAAATTCAATAAAGCCGTAACCGCGACTCCTACCTTCGTAATCTCTTGGCATACGAACAGATTCAACTTTACCATATCTTGAACCTAGCTCTTCAAGTCCTTGTTCGTTCGAGGCATATGAAACATTAGACACATATATTGTTTTACCGGCAAATCCTCGTTGTGAAATATTTGAGAAAGTTAAAAGACTGTTACGGGTAGGGAAGGCCGTAAAAGATGACTTAAATATCGCTCCGGTAAGTGTTTTAAACATTGTTTTATTTTTAGGTTTTATTTTGGTCTTTTATAAGATTTTGTTGGAAAACCGCGTTTTTTTTATTGAGGTGAAACACCTGATAACACTTAATGTATAATCTTTTTTTTCGTTTTTAAAAAAAAAAAAAAACTGATTTAGATGAACTATTATGTCACGTGTATTTAGTTAGGATTTGGGGTCTTGCAATAAAAATGACCCCGACACATAATTTTAGAGGGTCTTTTCTATAAAACGAGATGATAAGCATACGTAGCAATAGTGGAAGCTCTTTTCATTGGCTAAAAAAATAACACGCAAGAATTCTGTCGATCATATTTTGCCTATGAAACTATCATACGTATAATAAAGAATAATACTCATAACTGATACGTAACTGAAAATTTTTATAATTTTGGTACGTACGTACATGTCTGATTAAAATCCGACAAGGGTAGAATCTCCACCCAAAAAAATTTCGAAGGTAAAAATTTCGCAAGGAAATTCATGCATAAATTAGAATCGATAAAAAATTTTTATTTGTTAGGCAGATATCGAGAACACTTCGCTCAAGTTTGAATTTATCCCGCCTATAAACAAAGCAGTGCATGAACTTTTTTTTATTTTTACAGATATATGTAGAATCAAAATAAAAACGAATTTGGTTAGGAAGTTGTGCAATCTTCGATCAAAGTTTTAAAAAGTTCATGCACCGCTTTGTTTAGGCGGGATAAATTCGACAACCGCCTAATCAATTCGTGAAATTTTTTTTATTTTAAATAGAATTAAAATAAACCAGATGATTGTCGAGAAAGCTTTGGTCAAAGTTTTTGAAAATTAGGTGCAACTTTATGGGCGGGATAAAATTCAATGGAAATTTTAATTATATATCGCGGTTAAGAATATCGGAGCGAATTAATTAGTACCGATTTTGTGTGAAACCATGAAGAAGTTGATACTGACTACCGATGATATATATTTTCTGCAGGCAAATTTGCCTGCATAACGTATTAAAAGATAGCTTTTAAAGCTACTTTAACAGTATTTCGCAGTGTAGTAGTTTTATACAAAAAGCTAATTAATAACCAAATTCGGCTAATTGGCAGAATTTGAATAATATTTAAAAATTAGACTTTTATTTTATTGAAAACTTAAAAGCTTTTTCGCAATATATCGATATATTTTAAATTCTCCAATTTGGAAGATTTAATAAAAGTTACATATCTCTTAAGAATAAAGAAATTGCTAAGAAAGTTTATAAAACAATTTTAGAAGAATTAGTTAAAAACAAGAAGAATATTTATTATATAATAATAGAAGATTTTTTTTTTTTTTTTTTTTTTTTTTTTTTTTTTATACAAATTCCTTTTGCTATCTTTTTTAATTTCATAAATTTCAGAAATGATACATATTGTGAGAGTACAACTAGCTACACGTACAATTTTAGGTTGTCTATTTTTAGTAGTCTACTCAAAGGTTCTATACTAGCTGTCATATCTGAAATCTCTTAGAAGATTCTCTATTTAAACTCTCTGGCCCTATCTCACTTACTGCAAATATTACTCTTATAGTTAACTCTAACTCTGTACTACTTCACTTTGGGAGGTATCCAAGCTGACATTAGTCACAAACTTTATTGTTATGGGTTTAGGTTTTACTTAAATAAGTCTCACTTCAATACTCCTTAACAGATAGATGTTATGATATCTAACTATGTTATGTTATATCCTAATCTAGCTTGTATATACCTTTATTCAATGTTTGTACAAACCTAGTTCTAGCTGTGATCCTTCACTAGTTTAGACTTCTAAATGTTTCACAAGATAGATCCTCCCAATCTGGTTAGCTGCTAAACCAAGTTGATATAGCTATTAAATGCAAGGCACTAGGCTGTGTTATACTGCAGACTTACTCACACCTACTTGATTCATACTCAGAAATCCTTGCTGGATCAAGTGTTAACTAGTGTGACTGTTAAAATTCGTACTACTTTATCTAACTCAGGATTTCTACTATACAGGTCCTCTGTCTGTAGATCCTATCTCAATTTATTTGTGTAATACAACTCTAACATTCTGTCACACTTCTAATGTCTAAACAATATTGGTGCAATGTATTTATAGAATTACAACCTCAAAAACAGATAGAAAGCTTATCTCCTCCAAAATACAATAATACGTCACATGCATCGAATACAACAACAATAACAACCAAAAGTAGATACATCAACACAAATACAACAACCACAAGTAAACATAATATGACTAATAACCCAAATAAGCAATGAAAAATAGATGATCAACAAACTTCTTCACAACAAACTAAACTATATATAGAACATCTAAATGGCTCTAATAGTAATAATCCTAACATGATAATCGAAGAACTAATAGCAAATAATTACAATACTAATATGCAATTACCAAAACAACCACAACTCTCTTATAACCAAGTACTCAACCAAAATACTAACCTAGATATAATAATTCTCGAAGAAGAAATAAAAGAAGACTATGAATCAAACTGGTCTATACAACTAACAATCAGAAAAAAAGAAAAAATCTAAACTTCTTTTGATGAAAAAACCTGGACTAAAGACAAAATTATTGATATACTCAATAGCACAACAGATCTAACTGAATTTCTTCTATACAAATTAAATACAGTACTAACAAACCATAACATTCCCAAGGCAATTCTACTCAAATTCGACTATAGAGACTCTGCCTTCTTTAGAACCTTCACTAACAAGAAGAATATCATGTCTGCACATCAAACTAAATTTAATAACCTACTTCAAAATACAATCAAATCATACAAACTCAAAAATAATATTACACTTACAGACAAGGAGACCTGGGACCTAATACAAACCAAACTCTACCAAAAACTTACAACTGACTATTTTCCAATCTTAACTTCAGATCTTTAAAACCATATCAAACTTTCCAAATACTTAAGTACTGCAGAAATTTCATCAAGACAACTTCACTTGAAAATCCAAAAACTATACTAGATACAATCTACTAAGTTCATACCTCTCTCTGCTAAATCTTATCTAAAAAACCCAAACTAATCAGCAAAAAGATCCTAAAGATACTTCCCTTTGAACTACCTATAGTAAAGAGATCACAAACTAAAGCAATCACTAATATCTTACATACTATTTTCAATTTCGATACTTTACCAGAGACATACTTTATTACCTTACCTCAAGTACCAGATAACCCACACTACTCAAAGAAGAACTCAAGAAATTTTTTCCTATAACTGATCCCAGAGCACTTAAACATCTTAGCTACTATCGAAACAAACTAGCTAATTACTATAGCTTAACAAAAATCTCATCAACTTATTTTAATCTACTTCTACCCAAAGAACCTCTACCTTTAACCTACTATCAACTAAACAGCAGAGTCAGATACCTATTCCTAATCGACCCAAACCATTGTGAATTCACTCTACAACAAGTAGTAGAACTACTACATGAATATTATACCTTCAAAAGAATACCTAATGATTTCTTCAAACAGAAGCCTATATTACTATTTGACTCAGAAAAGATCAAGACCATCACTTAATATGTTTATCTGATCACTGATGACAGTACAGCAAAAGACTTTTTACAAGAAGTATCACACAAATACAAAATCAAATTTCCAATCTATATTGATATTATGATAGCTAACCTCACTGATAAACCTAAATTACCAGATAATTCTCAAGATATCTCAGAATTTAATCTAATACTTCCAATCTCAACTCCTCAACAACTTACATATATTGCAAGACTACTTCGATCACAATACTACTTTAACAAAATCCCTGATTCCTAGATAAAAATTGACTAAGACAATGAATAACAAAACCTAACTACAGATACAAACACAAATGATACTAATAATAAAAAACTAGCTATCCCATTAACTCTTGTAGAACTCCAAGAAAAACTTGAACATATTCAAGATAAAATCCTTGTTACACTTCCTATTACTTAACAAAAAGATATATCATCCACACTATCAATACTCAAACAACATTTCGATATCATCAAAATACCTATATATCTCCTACAACTTCTACCTCTACTAGTACCTATCTAAGACATCTTCAACTAAATAATATGAGTTACAACTAACAAAACGATTTAAATTCTAATACATCTATACATATTTTACAACCAAACCAATACCAAACAGACTTACTCAACTCTATTAATATAACTACTCACAATGTTCAAGGACTTAACAATCCTCTTAAACTCCAAACATTCCTAGAGTTCTGCTATAATAACAACTACTATCTAATCAGTATGACTGAAATAAAAATTGCAGAATCTAATAATAGTCACTACCAACTAGCTAACCTATACTACCAAATCTATATATCTAACTGTAATCTAGAAATAGTCAAAAAACAAGAATCAAGTATAGGCACAGCAATAGCAGTTTATAAACTACTTCAACCATATATTCACAATATTCAAACTGAAGCAGAAACAGTAATTAATATCAATTTCTTTTTTTCTCAAAACCATAAACTTAGAATTATATCAATATACCTTTCTTTTAATAACAATAAGCTCAGAGACATCATCTAACATACAGTCTCAACTTGGATCAATTATACAATACAACATGACTACCACACAATTATACTAAGAGACTTTAATTCCAACTTGCAAAAACATATAATGAAGTCGAAGCTACCACTATTCAATATATTACAAACCAATAGCATGACAAGTTTGCTACACTACTTCAATATAACAACTCCAACCTGATTCAGACCTCCTCTTCATAGCCAAATTGATGATATATGGATATCTATATCACTTATATCATTGATAACTAAACAAGAACTAATTAATACAGAATTCATTACAAATAGCGATCACAAAATAATTTAAACACAATGGTTTACTGGTATCTATATAAAACAACATAGACACAAAAAAAAAAAAAGAGTAGTCTTCCAGTATAACAAGATGACTGCAGACATATGGACTGACTTCAAAAATA